TTTAAAGTGCCTCGGAAACAGGCGCGGCTGCGGACCAGGTGGTTTCGAGTTCAAATCCCGATCACGGTTCGATGTTTGGAAGGTCACCCAAAGGTCACCAACGGTCAAATGGACGTCTTTTGGAGGGAGTTCGTAGCGTAAAACCAAATCAGAGTATCTTTACTTATTATTTTGTTTATCTAATCAAATTATTTCATCTATTCATTTTGTAAACTTGCTGCTGACGTGCAACCAGGGACTCGCGAAGATCATAGGTCTATGGTGAAGTATAACGTGGAGAACATATAGTGCTAACAGTGAAAACATCTGGAATTTCTCCATTCATGAAAGTATTTCTGTCAGTCATGATCAAGGTCACCATATGTAAGCGCTCACCTGCCTTTCCCTATCGTTCTATATTACGGCCCCACCTGTTTTTTTTTTTTTTTTTTTGTACTATATGAAGCTCCGGTACACCAGTTTTACTACTTTGACTTCCTCAGATGCAAAGGTGCGTTGTGCATGTGAATAACCCCTCACGACGGTTTCCAACGAAATCACGTGACGTAACGTATTTAATATGTTGGATATATATATATATATATATGCCTTATCATTTATTAAATGGCCCTTGTGGCTGTCGCTGTTGCTGCTCCCTCACAGCCTGCTTACGGATATGCCCCGAAAACCAAATATGAGGTTAATAATTTTGAATGTGAGGTAAATATTTCAAGATTTACGGCATACAGCTAATGCCTCATGAAATGTTATTTCAAATGCAAATAAATTATTGAAAATATTTCTATAGGAACCTGCAAAGTATGATTTCAACTACGCCGTGAAGGACGACTACTCCGGCAACGACTTCGCTCTGGAGGCCCGTGATGGCTATGACACTCAGTTTTCCTACTACGTCCTCCTTTCCGACGGTCGTCTGCAGAAGGTCGCCTACCCCATCCTATTCTTAATATCAATAAAAAGTGCGAGATTATTTCTTTCGTCAATAAATGTGATAATTTACCTTACCTTATCTCCCTGCTAAATGAACAACAGCAGAATTAGTATTGACCCTGAAGGCATGCACAAACACAAACTACAGTAACGTATGAACAAAGGTGAAATGTAACACCTATATAACAATACAAGGAAATACTTAATCACCAGACAGGAAAACCAATATGCATCCACTTCGGTTGTGTCTGAAGAGAAAGTCTCGTCAAATTTTACTGTCCCCTTTGTTATGGTGACATATATGTAAGGTTATACGTACCTGGACAAATGCAATGAAAACTAATGAAAACTCCTTTGCACTTACTGTAACTGCACATCACAGCTTGAGTCACACATCCTTTGCAAATGAGGCCAGTGTATGACATCTCCAGCCTTGGAATATAATCGCTGGCGCCTCTTTATTTATTCTTCCCATGCCCTACAAGATCATTGGCATTTCATCTTGAGACTCTTTTGCTTCTAATCACAGCAGTTAGATCCGTCTGTGGGGCATGCAGCCAACAGTGGATACCTTACTTTGCACCAAACATTGTCCATACATAGTATCTCAAGGCAAGCTCTGCATTATAAATACTTAGCAGCAAGTTTAACGACCTGTGTGTTAGTAAATTCTATTAGCTTAGAGTTAGTAGGTCATGATAAGGAAAGGATTTGATACGTGATAATAAGTGAATATTGTAATGACAGCAGTATTGATATATATCAGTTACACGACGAATTACCGAGTTATGTGTGCGTAAATGCTATAAATGCACACAAATACTAGTATACACACACACACATATATATTATATGTATACATACATATATATGTGTGTGTGTGTGTGTGTGTGTGTGTGTGTGTGTGTGTGTGTGTGTGTGTGTGTGTGTGTGTGTGTGTGTGTGTGTGTGTGTGTGTGTGTGTGTGTCTATCCAAATATATAATGGTATATATGTACACACACATATGTATATATATATACATACATACATACATATACATACATACATACATACATACATATATATATACATACATATATATACATATAAACGTATACACACACACAAACAAACCCACACACACACTCCTTGACAATGACTCGAATCTCAGAAGGTTGTCCGAGAGAACTAAGCCACCTCGCCGTCCGACCCCGATCTCGGGCGCTCGCGGCCATGCGGGAGCCGAGTCATTGCGAGAGAGGGCAGGTGACTCGTGTAAAATGCGTATTGCATTCATTTCATTCTTACCACACACACAACAAACACAACATACACCACACACAAACAAACACACCACACACACACACACACATACACACAAACACACTACACACACACACCAAACAAACACACACACAAACAAACACAACAACACACACACAACAAACACAAACAACACAACAAACAAACACACAAAATACACACACACACACACACACACACACACACACAAACACACAGTACACAAACAAACAAACAAACAAACAAAAAACAAACACACACACACACACACACAAAGAAACACACACACGCACAAACAAACACATATACTTACACATATGTGTGTGTGTATGTGTGTGGTGCGTTTTAAGTGTGTGTGGTGTGGTGTGTATGTATTACATACATGCATACATTCATACACACACAAAACATAAACACATACACACACTAGCGTAAATAAGACTGGATTTTGGATCTATGAGCTGGAGGTTTACGATCCATTTCTGTTGCTGGATAATTTCTTGTATTTTGGTAATGTTAAGCACTTGGACCAAACTATCACGAAAATCTGAACTTTTGAAGGGTGAGGATTAGCCTTTTAAGATGACATTGAAAGTAAATCCATATTACATTATGAGGAAAATGGAATTACGAATTTCGTTGATATTAATAATTATGTTTTGGTAAAGCGATGGAACTCCAAGTGTCATGACTGTATTATTATTTTTTTTTTTGCCTAATATAGTCCCTTCATACGTACTATTTTTCGTAAATACTTCGACTGGTCTTATTTTGAAAGGACAAAAGATATTGCACAAAACAATTAACAAAAAAACATTTCAGTTCATTGTAAAAAAAGAGATAAAAAAATAAGATTCACCATCTTCATCTTCACCTAAATGATGATAGAAGCTGGCTGTGCCTCGCGATAGGAAGATGAAATTAGCCTAAAAAAATAGTTATCACCATATTATAAACAAATATGAGTTTTGTGCTTAGTTAAGGATTCAGACCTTACTGCCCCATAGCTTTACAACTGCATGAATAATGACATTGACAAGCAACTGCAGTCACATCTATTTTAACTAAGATTCCTGCTGTAAATCTGCATGCTTATAGCTGATTAACCAACCCGATATATATATTAACTGAGCAGGCAACGCTCGTTATAGATTACCGAACATGAGCAGTACTAATTTCGATTCGATTCTGTTCCCCGTTTACACGAACCCTTAAAAAAGCAGTCTGAAAATGACACTGAAATATTCCACGAAATAAGAGTGAAACATAAAAGAGATAGAAAGCAGAGTAATATGTGAACGTTTTGGAATGTAAATAAATTGTTTTCTTCATTGCTATTGTTTTATTTCCTGTATTTTCATTCAAAATACCACAGTCATTAACTGTAGATGAACAATACAATGGCAGCAATGAAATTTATTCTGGGAGGTAATGATGAGTTACCAAGAGTATGATAGATGACCGTAAATGGAAGTTAAATAATATTTGAAATGACATAAATTACGCAACGAAGTGAAAAGGCAAGATAATGCAGACGAACAGGTATATTCGTAGGTTTTCTTGCCTTTCCCTCCGTTGTTCTTTCACATCTGTTTAAGCACGAGTCCGTCAGCTAAAAATGAAGCAGCAACAGGTCGACCTCAAGCCGAGTGTGGAGGAGCAGCATAGGCCGAGCGGAGGTCAACGGCAGCCGAAGTGTGAAGCTACTCGACCTGTTCCTTCGCCTCTCCCTCGTAAGTGACCTCGGCCGCGAAGCCCGACTCGCCGTTGACCGTGTACGTGACCTTCTGCAGCCGGGTGTCGGGAAGCAGGATCTGGTAGGACCCCTCCGTCTTATCCCCGTCGCGACTTTCCTGCGCGCTGAAGTCGGTCAGTCCTTCCTTCACGGCGTATTCGAACGAGTACTCGGCTTTTCCCTGAAGTGAAATGTGACAGTTGAAATGAACTGAGAAAAGCGATTAATATAGCAAAATAATTATATATATACATAAATAAATGAAAAAATATACATATAAAATAGAATAAATAAAGAAAAAAGAATGCTGCTCTATCCATAATTCAACTGTTCAAGTTTCAAGCAAACAGCAAGGGAAAATAGAAACAGAATATACAGTAAAGAAGAAAATAATAGCCGAGGAGAAAGGAATGATGAAAATAAATGATAGAACAGCTAAATACAGTGACGTCGACTCCACAATCCTCCCTCAGACGCCCGCAATTCACGTACCTCCGGCTCTGCCTTCGTCTCCGGAGCTCCATGGGCGTGTTCTGCGTGGGCGTGGGGCTCGGGCGGAGTCAGACCGGCGCCTTCGATGGATCGAAGTAAGACCGACGACGGCGACTGTGGGGCGTCGTGACCATGGTGATGGTGCTCCTCGTTCTCGCCGTGATGGTGGTCTCCGTGGTGGTGGTGGGCGCCTCCCTCTAGAAGATTCGGAGCGCCCAGCGAGGACACCGCCAGGGAAAGGCTCACAAATACCTGCAATGTTATAGATTCATCTGGTAAACAAGAGTTATGACAGGATGCTTGTCTTCGATTTTCTAACATTGATCTAAGAAACCAATTTCTATAACGATTATTGTTATCAGTATCAAGAGAAATGCATATCTAGCTAGCAGGGCAGATTTCCATCCACAGAACACATTACATAAATAGCTCCCTTTCAACGCCTCACAACACATAATTGACAAGATGATAGCACACGGCACACTTCACAACACTGACCTACAATTCTTCCACTTACCATCAAGTAAATCTTCATGATGCTCGAGTGTTCGGAGGGATA